TGGGGTGTTGTGAAGGAAATAAAACATTGCTTCTTGTCTGCCCCAAATCTGCCTCTTCCTCCTGCTGCAGTTCCTGCTGTGCCTCTGTTTCCCACCATGCCCCAGCAGCAATGATTGCAGTGGTGCTGCAGCACTCTGAGACATCAACCAGTGCCCTGCAGTTCCATCACACAAATTATTGCAAAACACCAAAGCTGCAGCAATAATCTCTGACCAAACACACTGACTGCTCACAGAATCACCACTATGGCTCAAGACCAAGACATGAAGCCCTGTGCTCTGCCTTCAGTGACACCAGCCCACCTCCATTCCCAAGGGATGCATTTCCTGTACTTTATCCAGCTCCTCTTCTCATGCAACATGAGGACAGAAACACTTGCTCATGGCCTGTACGTGACCAGTTGTGCACCTATGCACAAAAATCTGTCTCAGCCATGTCCCACTCCCATCATTAGTATCTGATTTCATAACCAGACCCATTGAGATTGGTTGAATCACCTGAGAAATAAAGCATTACTAAAAAGGGTGTGGCCACTGCCTTCCAGAAAGGCCTAAAGAACTGCCAAAAACCACTTTTATATCGTGATTATAGTTCTACAACTTGCACCAGAAATTTTTTTTACCAGACAGTCAGTTGCTGCCCTGAAAATATTCTTGGCACTGGCTTCCTCAATGTAAAATCCTTTTGGGAAATTTTTTCTTAATAACACAATTTAGCTTGGCAACTATGTGAAAAATACATAAACAACCTCATTCTCCAACTGTTTAATTTTCCCTTCTACCATGCAAGGCATCCAATTTGACAAGTTTAAGTCTCTGCAATTGAGTTAGAAATAATTTTTTTTTAACCATGATGAAGGTGACTTCTGTTTTTAGGTTTGATCTGTATTTTTACTGTACTGGCAAAGGTAAGAAAGAACTCCTGGTTTGTAGCTATTGGAAGTAGTCAATATTCCAATCAAAGACAAGCTCTAAAAGTTAATTTAGCTCAAAATGGAAAAAAGACTGTATCAGTTTCCCAAGTCCTTGGTACAATCCAGGGTTCTATGGCTGTTAAGATATGCAATATTGAAGAAATGGAAAAAATATTGTGTTCCTAGGAAAACAAATTATGATTATGAATAGCAAGTATTTTAGGTTGAGTAAATCTCATCATAAACCTGACTGGTTCTTACAAAAATTCAGAGCAAGTTTTGTGAGCAATTTGATGTTAGTTTACAGTTAAAGGGTTAACACAGAACTTGCACAGGGAGCAGATGTCTCAGAGAGTTTAGAATTACATGAAACCACAGACACACACTTCCCCCATGGAGAAAAGAAGCCAGAATGATGGACTGCCACAAAACAAACTTACCTGACTCTTATAATGAACAAGACTGCCTCTCTACAAGCAGATTTTTTTGCACACCAGTAGCAGCTAAATAGTTAGAATTCCAACTAAATCAGCAGCCCAACAGGACAGCATTCCATACACTCACTCATGCTAGTTCAACCTGCCATCTATTGCCAAGGCCTGTGACCCTACCAGAGAACCTGGAAAAAAAGTCTGAGTTTTGTAAATTAGCCTTCATTCCTTCATTACAGCTTTATGTCTTTTTATTACCTGATGAAGAAATCTCTCCACATGATGTCTTCTTCTTGCATGGATTTTTACTATTATAACCACAAAGCCTATTATATTATAAATTATTATATTCCACAGTTGAGAGAGCCACAATACACAGAGCATCACCACACAACTCCAGAAGGCTTTAAGCATCCACCCATACACAGGAACACCTCACCTCATTAGAAGGCTTCAGGCATCTGCCCATGCAGAGTAACATCCCATCACTTCAGAAGGCTGCAAGGGTCTGCTCTTTCTTGTTCCTCAGCCCAGCCTTTTATCCCCTCCTGTTGATGCCCTGCACCTGTGTGCCCTCTGCTCCCTTTGGTGGTTGGGCACTGCCCTGGGCACTCCATGGCTCGTTGCTGTCAGTGCTGCTCACCTGCTGCTCACAGCTGTGCCCACTGGGGATGATGAGGCTCAGCCACATCCCAATCACCACAAACTGTGTGCCCACAATAGCTAACATTATATCTAACACTATAGCTAACATTGTACCTAACATTATATTTAGATCCCCCTCATTTACCTGAGCAAAATAAGGAATCAGAGTGGTTTCAAGGCTTACCCCTAAAATCACAGTTTGCAGGGTTCACTGACTGGAACAATGCTTTGAAATCAGCTGGATAAAAAAAACCCACATGTAAATCTTAAGTATTTATCACATCCTCTTTGACAAAGTCAATCCAAGTTATTACAGTTTTGTGGTAGGTTTCACCTGGCATGCAGAACAACCATGTACTGCTAGGAGACCTTCAGCGAAGATACAGGAAAAAATTACATAAAATCATATTAATGCAATTTTATTAAAAAATAAAATCTGACCCAGTCCATCCCATACAAAAGTTTTAGAAGTTAACATTTCTTAGATTTGCTCAACTATAACAAAGACCCATCAAAACAGCTGCTTCCCTCCCAGCTGCAGGGCATGAACAGCAGCCAGCAGGTCTGGCTGCTTGTGTGTTGTGTGGAACTGCACTCAAACCGTGCAGGAAAAAACCACTGCACTTTAAGCCATTTCTTTTTAATAGTATAACAAAAGCCCAATGAATGAAATGGAACAAAAATATTTTATTTTGGCATTTAACTTCTAAATTAAAGTATGACAAAACATTATTTCTGAAAATGTCAGATGCATTCTATTTTCAACAGTTGATGTGTCCATGGACAGGTACAAATTATGGCAACAACTGTACATATATCCCATTCAAAATGCTGAACACACTGTCACATCTTGAGCCTTCAGCTTTCCAATGTTTTTTTACCCTCCCAGAAAATACTATATACTATCAAATATCCAATGTCCACACACTTGAGTGTAGCAAAATTTAAGGGATCTTTTCACCATTACCATGATATTTAGAATTTACTAAAGCTTGAAAACAGTAGTAAGCTAATCTCTAGTATGTGTGTTAACATATCTTTAAAAAATAATTTTTACAAGGATTTTTGCTGCTATTCCCAGCATAAAGTCTTGCCAACTCAGTACTATGTCCTTCCAGTATCTCAATATACACAGTACCTAACTGTTTTAGGAACTGTGGCTTTGTAAAAAAGCTATACTAAGTAGGTAAGTATTACTTCTCTTACTTTTGTAAACTTTAGGTGTGGGCCATCCTAATCTATATTTTCACTTAATTATGTTGTCTTTCTTCTGAGTACATAAAATATGCTGCTTCCACCTTAAGCTAAGAAGGAATAAAGGAATTTTTCTTCCCTCCACCCCTAGATGTGACTGTCATCTGTATAGAATTTTCATAATTAACAAATTAGTGTTGCAAGATTGTACAGCAAATTTTGAACAAATAAAAAAAAACATCAATGACAAGTGATTCTTTGTGCAACTGCCTTCATCCCTTTTCAACACTCAGCTTTCTTAGAGCTCAAAATGAAAACTTAATTTCATTTCATAATACTGATTCAGCCACTATATTTAATGGAACCTGGAAATCCTCCCAATCTTTAGCCCAGCATTACATAACAGTAAATGAGCTGGGACTTCCAATGGATGAAAGCAGAATTACCTTCACTTACTCACTGCTAAGAAATTGCCTTCTCCTCCTTCTCCTCCTCCTCTCATGTTGTGCAGCTTTGGCATTTCTATGCACAGCAGATCTTCAGCACACAGGTTGTGTCACCTTTCTGCCTTATTCAATCCAAACCCTTTCTCCAGTAAAATAACAAGAATTGTACCAAATCATAGCTGGATATCCCTCATAGCTGGATTTAGTGGAGGAGCATTAACCTCTAAATGATTCCCTAGTGTGACCTTCAAGCAATGGGAAAACATGGACAATTTTACCTTCAATAAGGCTCAAGGCACAGCCTTAAAAAATCATCAAAGGCACAGATGATTCACTACGTATGCAAAATTACCTAAACTTACTTAGATATTGCAAGTTTTGAAGTTTTTCAGGTAGTGTTCTTTGAAATTCAGAAAGCAGAGAGAATAAGGAGTATGTCATGACGGGACAAGGGCCTCCAGATCCAATACATGCTGATCCAAATGATCACAGAATTTCGTATTACAACTGCAAAGCATGTCAGAGTTCTGCCATTAATTGTTAGACACAAATAATTGTTACAGCACTTTCTTACTCCATCTGTGATAACAATCTCAAGAGTCCTTTGTTTGGAAATTCCAATGATTCAATATAAACTGACACATAGAAACCCAAAACAAAACAAAAACAACCCAAGAAAACAACCCATGAGCTTTACAGCTACTCAGCCAAAATCATCATTTAATAGTTCTATCTCATGCTATTAAAATGGATAATAAAATGTAACAGTTAACAATGTCTAATTCTCATCTATTAAAACTAAGAGAATATTTGAGGTATTTGAGTTCTCCCTTAATTCTCTTTAAAGTAACCTCCTGCTAGTGGAATGTGAATTCAGGTTACATGAGCCAGAATTTGACTCTGTGACCAGGATGAGCAAAGGCACATTGGTGAGGTGTGTTTTAGTATTTGCTGTTCCCATACTTACTGTAATAGGGCCTGGAACTGCAGTTACAGAGATGCATTGAATTTCAGAAAAGTTGCTCCTGGGAAACAGGAGGGACAATCTGGATGAAGATTTACCCACCTGGTCACTGCAGGAAACAGGACATGCCTGCTCTGTCTCAGCAAATAAAAATGGCCAGTGGTAGTTTCTGCATTTTTCCTTAATATAACACTAGTGACAGCACACAATCTTAATCACTAAGTATGATAAATAGTGTAAACTGCAAAATAATTCACTGGCTTCTGTTCACTGCTTGGTTCAACACAAAGTACTCCTGGCCTGTTAACTGCTGGTCTTGGCTTGTTTTAGCCCAGGTGATTTTGTAGCATCTGTCCTTGAATGAGATGAACCCCCCATAAAGCTTAATCCTCTCATGGCTGAACAAACCTAGAATATCTTCAATATAAGATATGGTCTTCCTTCTCCCATCTCTTTATTCTTTACATCAGCCCTTCAGGAAGAAACAGGAAGCTTTGTTTCCATGGTATCATTCAGAACATGAGGACCTGTATTTCTGTCTATTACAGAATGATGCTGAGCCTCAGAATGGGGCTGTGTGTGAGTCACCACAGCCAGACTGCAGAGGAGACACAGGAGATCAGTGCAAGGGAGGGAGACAGGCACTGGAATGAAATACTGACACACATTAGCATCTGGGAGAAGGAGGCTGAGGAAGAGAGCTCAAACATTTTGAAAAGAAAATTATTTCTTCTGGTGGAGGATTTCTTGATGTCACCTTTGGCATTTTATCTTGCTTCTGAAAAAAATCCTGTTCTCATTCACTACAACACTCCTGCCATCAAGTACATCAGCACTTAAAACTAGAGGCTGGACTACAAAATTTACTAAGGCTTAATGTTCCAAGCTATTTTATGTCCAGTTGCAAAGTTATTCCTAGGAAAAAATAGTAAATTTTGATTATAGCATCTGTAAACAGTGTAATATAATGACATTTAAATTATAACGGGAATTATTTTAAATGTATGCTCTTCTGGTTTTCCATGCTACATTTTTCAAATCATGAAAGAGTTTTTATAAAAATACCAACAGATTCAAGTTTACTGGCCACAAAAAATGGAATAACAGATCTTCTTCAGGGGCAGTTGGTTCCTTCAAGTAGATTTGGTGCTGAGACAGTGTGGTAGTTAAAGCACAAACAGAGGCTGTTGATAAAGTGGCAATGCATAACAATGTTGTCATGTATTATAAAGGAGCAATTGCCTGCAGTTCATCAGAGTGGATGTGGCAATGAAGTTCTGCTTTACATATTCCAGGCACTAAGAACTTTGTAGCAGTCATTACAGGAGGTTCTTCTTCCCCTATAAAAGGAAAAAAAAAAGTGAAGTTCATTAATTGAAACAGAGACTTTGTACTCAGTCAATATTTCAGAAACAATGCCAAGAAAACTTATGAAATGCCTCTGCACCACCTTGTCATGCATTCCTGAGGCTGAGCTATCATACTCAGCAAATGTTATCTGGAGGTACAACACTGATTTGTTTCCCAGGCAGGACTTCTTAGGGAAGACCTCATTAGTGAATGGACCTAATAAAGGTTTAGCTGTTGGTACTTCATCAAAATTAAACTGATTTAAACTCCATGCTAAATATGATATATTTGAGAATCTTTACTTTGCAGACCAGTAGTCTGCTTAGGAACTGCACTGAAAGAAAGGATTATAAATAAGGGGATTTATGATTTTTATTCAAAAGATTATATCAAACTGGCCTTTTAAGGAAGAGAGGAAAGATCTTTTGAGATGCTAAATGTCAGAGCTATTCACATCTGCTCTGACCAAGTAAGAGGTAAAATAAGTAAAAACGGGAATGTAGGGTGAATTCAGAGCAATAATTTGGATGTGTCTATCTCTCAGAACAAGAATAAAAGCTTAAAAATTCTATTTACTCCTCTCATTAGCATGCATATAAATATTAGGGCTGTAAATGCTTTGTATGTCTGGGACAGTAAAGAAATTTAATGGGTTGCAGTCTAAAAGGCAGATGATGCTTTTAGAGTCAGTTCCAGTGCTGTCTCCTTTGTACCCTGTACCTCATCAGGGCTGTGGTTTGGGTGAGGGAGGTTTGAGGGAGAGTCAGTCAGGGTGGTGCTTTTGGATGAGGGCAGTAAATGGGAAAATGGCAGAAATTGTGGTCTCTTGAGACACTGGAACATCAGTGCAAAGATCCAACTCTATCAGCAAGAGCTCTAACGTTTAACCTCCACAGCTGGAGCGTGTTACCAAGGGGGTATGTGACTTGAGAATTAATTACTGGGAAGACTGCCTCTTTCTTCCTGTGCCTCCCTGCAGCTGGGACACCCAGCTGACAGCTCAGCATTGAATCAGGAGGGGCACACTGGGAAAGCATTCTTCCAGGGAGGCCATACATTTTAAACTAGCATCCCACTTTCACTAGAACCTTTACAGAGATCATCTGTAATTTTTCCCACACATGTGAGAAAAGACTAAATTAGAAGATGGTAGGAAAGTAAAAAATATAGTTTTAATTCTGAAAACAGAGTAATTGTGGCTTAATTAATTAATTAAAACAGTAAATCTGTATTTTTTTCCACCTGAAGTTTTTTTCAGATTTTAACTACTTAGTCACATAGGCTATCTAACTGATAGGTGCAGTATCTGTAAATCAGCATTTGTATTCTCTTCCTCCAAGATAATTCTGGCATCAAACATTAGTTATGAGTTATCTAAATAAGAATAAAAGGTTCATTTACCCAAGAGAAATGTCTAGTTAATGCACTGTCAACACTTATTCTAGAAAGCAGAACAGCATACAACCATCAAATTACAATATTCACCTGTTGTAGCTGTGTGGGAAATGGATTTCTACAGAGTTGAAGTTTTACACAGCATACTGTGTAAGCTTTCTGTTAAGTCAAAAACTCTCTACAAATCCATTTCCCACATGGCTGCTTAAGGATAGTCTCAGCAGAGCACCTTTATCATATCAATACAATTGCTGGAACATTCCTCACTGAGATAGTTGTGATGCCAGTCCAATATCCTGTAACTAGTAAGGTTAAATCAGTTTTTTATACAGCCTGAGGCAAAATTTACACCTTCTAACTGAGGTATCTGAGCTGGGTGTCTATTCTGGAGAGTGTCTTCCAAGCATTTAAATTACTCCATTGAAAGCCATTTGTTCATTCCCCAGCCCTGTATCTGTGGGAAGCCTGATGTCATCCTGAAACTTGAGTTAAACACAGTACAGAGGATACCCCTGAAGGATCCACTATGTGCTGGAGCCAGACAGGATGCCAGGTTTAGATTTATGGCTGGCTATGAGAATGCTGCACCATATCACCCTCTGGATTACAGCACACAGCTGTCAGCTGAAATCCCAGCTGCCAAGGGGTCCCTGGAAGGAAGAAGCTATCTCTCCAAGAATAGGTCAATTAATGAGCAGTGACTTATGAATAGAATTTTAGTGAAATCTTATCTAGCTAAGACTTCCTCCACAAACTGTAAGTTTAGGAAACAATTTTTCCAAAGCTACTCTACCTATTTTTATTTTTTATTTTTATATGATATTTTTATTTTATATATTATTTTTACTTTTATTTTATATTTTAAAATATTTTTAATTTTGTGTTTATTTTTAACATCTTTATACAATGTTCACCTTTCTCTGCAGCCTTTTATATGGCTCCTCACATATTAACTTACCTCTTTGGAGATGGCAGAAATATGCACAGTAACTGAATTTAAGTTTTGACACACTGCTGTATCTTACCTAAACCTGATGATGAAGAAACACTTCCTGTAATGGAAGATGTTTCCATTTGGTCTGTCAATAGTCCTTCCATTAAAGGTAGAGATAATTCAGATGAAGGGACAGATGAATCATAGATCCCAGAATCTCGAGGCATGTCTTTCAGGTTTGAAGCTTTAACAACATGTAGCAATGGCTGAAGGACAGAGCTGCCACCCCCTTGAATGTCCTGAGTTTCTATATCTTCTCCAAGGTTTAAGTGCTGAATGATACAGTGAGAGTCTGAATTCCCCACTGAAATGTTTAGATCTGTTTTCAGGTAAAAATCACCATCCATCACCTGTTTATTCACCAAGTCATTTAAAACCAAGCCTGAATCAAATTTTTCCATGACAGGCTCCGAGTAGTGTAAAGAAGGTGGAGGGAAGGGAATGAATTGTTTCTCAAACCAATCTGGTTCCTGATCAATGAACTGATGCATGTTGCAAATAGCAACATAAAGGGACCTCCCAGATTTGCTCCTGAAATAATTCCTTTTACTGATGTTAACAGGAAACCCCTCTGAATCCTGCACACTGAGATCCCTGGAGTGTAAGTGTGAATAGAGCTGGGGGAGATTGTCCATGAGTTTGTATTTTGTGCTCAGATCCAGAATAGCAGGGATGTCTCCCTCACAGGAGTAATCAAAATAAACTGCAATGAACTTGCAGAGGTCAGCTGAGTTCTGCTTGGCCTGACGAAGCTTCTCTGCCACTGTCAGCACAGCAAAGAGAAAGGGTTCTCCTTTTCCTGCATCTCTGGCTACTCCTCTGTGCTTCCAGTTCTTTTTTTCAACAAAGTATTTCATCCCTTTGGAACACACAATGATGATAAACTGTGACTCGTTTATTTTTTTAATAAGCCACTCCTTCTGATCTTCTTTACAGCTTTTCAGATCTTCCCACAAATCTAAAGCCACCTAAAAAAAGGGAAAAAATCTGATTAAGTTTTACGTATATAAACCCAAACGGTTCCTTAAAAAAAACCACACATCCAAATGTGGATTTGATACATAGCAATATTTTTGGGGGAATAAAAAGAACATAGAAAATGTGGCTGGATCAAGTAAATTACAATTAACTTATCTAATCAAATTTGGTATCATCAATCTACAATAAACAATTGTGCTTGCCTCAAACATTTACCATTGTATGTCTGGGTCCATAATGTGCTGAATGCAATGGAAGTAACAGAATCACAGGATTGCTTAGATTGAAGAAGACCTTTAAGGTCAAGTCCAGCCATTCAGCCAGCCCTGCCAAGTCTAGCACTAAACTGTGCCCCTAAGTGTCATATTCACTTATCATCCTTGCATATTAATGAAGTGTGATGCCGAGAATTTTCATATCTAGACAGAAACATAATTAGTGCCTATAATATCAAGATCTTCCAGTTAGGATGCAAAATAACAGCTTTATCTGATGAGAAAGCTCTGAAAAATTTTATCCTAGGAGTTGTTTTATTTTGTACTTGGTCAAGCTTTCTGACCATTCTACATTATGTGAAATGTTTTTGTACACCAAGATGAGGGACACAATGCTTTATCTCACAGGAGGAATGAGTAGTAGGATGAGAGAAAAAAACAGATGTAAAAAACTTGCATAATAGACACACATCAAAACCATTTATAAAAATCTTCTTTGAAGTATTTTTCCAGGGAACAACAATTTTTGCTCTGCTGTGTCACCCACAGCAGAGTGGAAAACTCTGCCCCATCAGAAGACAGAGCAAGTGAACACCCAGAACACAAGGATTCCTGAAAACTGCTGCCACACAGTTGGCTGCAGGAAGAAAGTGATCCTGCCTGAGGTGCTGGTCAGCTGGACTGGAGATCATGGTCAGCTCCTTCCAAACAGACAGCTCTAGCCTGGGGAGGAGAGGTCATTTTACTGCTGCCTGGGACATGCAGGTAGTTTTGTGTCTGGTTTTGTTTCTGTTCTTCAAAATCCTGTGTGGCCTGCTATTTGTGAGAAAGCATTTTTATTATGGACAAGCTATTATTTTAAATGGTTATTAAATGCCACTGTTTTTGTCCTTTGAGAAAACATTCCAATTCCAAATGAAAAATACTTGTGCAACTCTTCTGTTATGCACTGAGCATCACTTTTTATTTTAAACTCCACAGCTTTAATAACAACATGTATTATTTCTGTACATAGGTGCTATCAATATTTTGTTATATCAATTTTGTGTGCTGTCCAAGGCCATATATTCCATGGTTAGAGCAGTAAGAGCTCATCTCAACACTACTCAAAAGAGAAGCAGTGTAGTAGGGCTAAAGTACATCTCTAAAAGGAGTTTCAAGTAAGTTAGTTATAAAATAGTTTATCCAGAACTATTTTAAGCAGATGAAAAAGCTGTGACCATCCCCAGCAAGCACGAGGGCTCGGCTGTGTTTCTGTGTTTGGTCACCAGAGAGCAGAGTTGCTGTAATGAAACCCAGCTCCAGCTCAGCCCAGTCACATCCCAGGGGTGGGGGAAAATGCAGCACAAAGAGACCAAAAACTGTCCTGCCTTTTCCAGCTGAAAAATGAAAAACTGGTCACATATTGATTCCATTTCAGACAACAGTATGAGATTCTAGGCCTGCTCATTCAAAGTAGCAATTGAAATGTCTCTCTCATACCATTCTAACAAAAACAAGAAAAAAAAAGAGCTGCTGATTTCACAGTATTAATGGAACAGAAGGGAAGAAAAAAAAATAAAAATCAGTAAGTACATGCTGTCAACAAGTAATCCTAATAATGCAGTTTTTGCTCTATGGGTAGAAGTCTTCAGAGATTCAACTTCTTTTAAATTACAATTCAAAACACACTTTAGGAACACCAAGGGTATATCAAGTAGACAACAATACCTCTTTGTGGCTGCTGACTGTAAAGATGTAATGCCTACTGAACAGAAAAAGCACTTAATTCAAAGCAAGCTAAACATGGCTGAATGAAAGTCCTGAAATCATGATCTTCCACTATTCTGTTGGTTTGGGTTGTTTTGGTTTCTTTACACTGGATAAGATCTCTTCATTTCCCCAAGTAAAGAAAATTCATACAGCCTAAATTTAGAAAAACAACACAAGTTATCTCTGTGGAAAGGAGTGACTGAAACACCAACTTTTCAAGCACAGAATTTTGGGAGTGCTGTTTCAATTAAGGAAAAGTTGTTCACATATGAAATGCTGAGTTTACCTCACAGCCACAGAAGTCCTGCAGAAAATAAGCAAAGCACTGGATGACATTAATGTGTTTCTGGCAGTCCTTGCTGGAGTAGCAGATGAACACTTTTGGCCGGGGCCGAAGCCTTTCCACATGGAGACCTGCGGCATATGCTGAAGATTCTGAGCTCTCCTCATCCAGATGGGAATATATATTTTCTAAAGTGCAAGAGAAAAGAAAGTTCATTGTTTTGTTTTGGGTTTTTATTACTTTTGTAGGCTTTTTACTAATGCATACAGTAATGTTTGGTTTTTTTCCTAAATATTTTCCTCTCCTTTCCAATCTAGGAAAAAGGAAAGTTGTACACACTGTTTATCCAGCTTAAGATTTGCTGCATGTGAAATACACTTTCAAAGTTAAATGTGCAGTTATTTCTGCCCAAGTCAGAAAACATAAGGAAGATTTATTTTATAGACAGAATGAAGTTGTTTCACCTTTATTCAATCTCAACAGTCTTCACATCTCTGTTCAAACACAATAAGCCTAAAAAATGTATCATCTTCAAGAGTTTCCTGTCTAACAAAGTCTCTTGTTAAGAAAACCCAAACCACAACATAAGTCAGGTAAGAATATTCAACTCCAGGTCCACAGACCCTTTCAGGATATCCTACAAGATTTCTCTAGTGTATATATACACACCCGTGTTTGGACATTAATTTGACATTCATTTGAATTAAGATATGATTAATTTAAACCAAAATAGCTATTAGTGTTTATTTCCTTGCATAGATCCTTTTATGCTGGAGCATAACAGTCTGGCCTTATGCCAGACTAATTCAATCTAGTTCTACAGCTGATTAAGCTAATTTGGAATAAAGTATGAGTATTTCAAAATACAAATATCCATCCAGGGATTCAATTCAGAACAATTCATCAGGAATAACTATTCTGCAACAACTCTCTCTGCAGACAAATCCTCAGAGATTTGTCTGGGTTTTTTGTTGGAACTATGCTAGCTGTGAGCAAAGGGGATAACTACAGAAGACCAGAAGGTAAAAGGATTTAACCCAGCTGGCATTTAGCACTTGCAGTATATCTCAGTGCCAAAATTCAGGTGGATAATACAGATATGTGAGGTTTGGAGAAGTAATCTCTTTTTCTATTATTCATGAAACCACATGATTCTTTAAATTCAATATAAAAAGCCAAGGTATTTTTAACATTTAAATGTATTAAGTGTTGCTTGCCAGCTCCTGGATACAGAGGAGAAGTCAGCAACGAGGAATGGAATCTAAGAACATCTGCAAGCAGGGCTCATAGTAAATTTAGGAAGATGGCTTAGAATGAAAGGTAAAGGCAACTTCCAGGAAAGTGAGCAAATCTGGAATAGCAGCTGTGGAGAGTATTCCAGACAGCACTGTGAATTGTATTGCCATCACATGACTTTACTTTCCTTCTGATTTAAAATAAATATGAATTAGATATTTCTGAGTAAAATAAGAGAATGTATGAAACATACCCATTTACAAATCTGTTTGTAATCTACATGCTCACATGGTACTCTCTCAAAGAAAAAGAAAAATGAAATAAAAAGTATTTTCCAATATTGCTTTTGTTGTCTCCTTTCTACAGTGAAGTCTTGATACAACACTGTCTAGGCAATCAATTACCATCAAGCACAGATTTAGAATTTGCTACAGGTTCCAGCACACAAAAAGCTGAGGGGAGGAAGGACAGATAAACAGAAAAGCAAGCTTTTCAGAGAAAGGTATTTCTGGAGTCAGCCTATCAGTGAGGACAGTTTTGGTTGCAAAAGCACATCTGTCAGTGGCACTGCCCTGAGTGCAGGCTCCCACCTTGCTGCTTCTTGCGGCACATGACGGTGAAGAGCGTGGCAAAGGCAGAGATGACAACCAAGGGCACTGTGATGGCAATGGCTCTGATGGGGCCAGCCCAGGGGGAGTGCACTGCAAAAGAAAGCACAATTAGCCACATGCAAATCAGCTGCATTACAACTATCCAAACAAATCTTCACACTGGGAATGCAAAACTGCTGCATCTATTATCAGGTAATGGTCCAAGATACAGGATATCAAATATGCTCAAATATCATGTTCTGCTCCATTTCAAATTAGGTTTTATGGCAGTTGCCCCACTGACACAGTGACTCTCATAAGCAACAAGAGCTGCAACTCACACCAGCCCCAGGAGAACAGCCTGTGGCAAATAGTTTGGCTGATATATGCAGTGGCCATTTGGACCTGACATGGTTGGTTCCAGGGTGTTGAATTTGCCCCTTTAGAAAGAACTGCCTTCCTGCAGAGCTCTGCCTTCCTGCAGAGCTCACCCTGAGCAGTGTGAATTAGGATTCAGTGCATTTTATCCACTGCCTCCATCTGTGGCTGTTTTGAGGTGCAGCTGCACTCTGAAATCCCTGCTTAACTTCTCAAAACCAGGTCTGACCCAGGCATGTGAAGCATTCACCTGACAGGTTCTCCAGACTGCTGGGTTTGGTACCAGGCCTGAAGGACACAGGTGATGTGTTCAGGCTGCTCCCACAGTTTCATTGCAGTATTTCCACACTATTGCACTCTCTGTTGTATGCAATTAATGTTATCATTCCTCATATCCACATATAAACAAAAGTCACTTTTCCACAAAAATTTCCAGTGATGGATTGATCTAAACTCCATTAAATATAAATGTACAGAGATGCACATCTGTATGCTCAAGTGTGCATCTCTTTTTTCATTAGGTCAAAAAAGCACAGCACAATTATCTCAATAGTCTAGATTATGGCAAACAGACAAAGTCAGACAGAGATTTAATTCCAACATAATTAAAACTGAATCTAAATTAGTACAGTAAATATAGTATATTGTTTAAAAAACAGAATTCATACCTGGTTTTAGTGCATAGTGCATCGTTTTCCTTGTTGTATTAGTGTCATCAACCAGCTTGGAAAAGTAAAAGATTAATTTTATTTTTTGCAATATGAAAATAACTGTAACAGCTCTTATGACCAAATGTGAAGAAAGGTATTGTTCAAATAGTTAAAACTAAAAAGCAGAACAAACTAGTATAATAAAAATTGACCAAGACAGAGAATTCCAATTAAAAAAATAAAAATCAAAGTCCAGGAATTATGCAGGCCCACAACTTCAGTTTAAGGCACAAAATGCTGGGCACTGATGGAAGCAAAGCTATGGAAAGGTCAAGAACATTCTGATTCCTGGAGATTCTAGCCGTTGTATTTTTATGCATTCATCCTGTACCACATTAGTGCATAACTAAACTCCATATAAAGTGCTAGTTAACTGTCCTCACATTCTGGTTAGACAAACAATCCCTCTGGGGCAGTGATCCAAGGACACCCTACAGCTCAGGTCCTGAAAAGTATAAACAAAAGTGAATTGGGGGGAGCAAACTGGGGGAATTTGACTTCATTACCTGAAGCTGTAATTGGAGGATTAACCCCTGATATGTAAATGGACCAAACTTGTATATGTCTGAAAAAAACTCCTGACCATCATCCATTTTGGGTTAGCCCCCTGGGGAGGCTTCATCCGCCCTTAATATACCAGAAGGCCCTTCATTAAATGTCTCTAACTTTGTCTGGCCTCTGTTTCTAGGTAAGCCCAAAAAAGGCACCATTCTAGGAAATTTACTTGCCCAAGTCACTTCAGTAGGGATACCTGGAGTTCAATTCTAACAGTGTGATTTGAAACATTTTAATTTTATTCCATTTTCCCATTAACACATTCACTTAGGTGTGGTACACAAGACTGTTTAGAAATGTTACCTCAATGATATAATCCCCTGGAGACACATTCTGAAGAACACAGCTTGTAGTGTCTGTGTTCTGCTCCTACATAAAGAAAGAATATTTTGCAAGCAATTCACATACTTTGAAAACCTAATAAAGAATTCATATTGATTTAGAAATAGGCAGTGCACTTTGTATTAACACACCTTAGACCAGCAAACTCAGTCTGCCCATTCACAGACAGAATTGTCTGTCTGCAGAACTGACTTGGGTTATCCAGACCCAATGGAGTTCCCAAGCCTGGCTGTGACTGATGAGTGCTATCACAGCACAATTGTTATCTCCATAAATAGCTCCAAATAGTTTTACAATTTTAAAATTGACACTATTTTATATTAAGTTTTTAAAATTTCTTAAGACCTTAGAACACCTCATGTTGATAGGTGTTGTGTTTTTAAGAGGTGCAAAACTCAGTCACGTACCTGTCTGCAGGTCTTTTGCTTAAACAGTCCTTCATGCTTCAGTTTGTAGTGAAGAAAGTAGGACCTAAACCCAAAGTTGTGAGGGGCATGATCAAAGGACACTTGCATGTTAAAACCTTGCTGGGTAACATTCACATTCCTTGGCTTCCAGTCTGTTGGAGGAGATATTCATGAATTGCAAAATGACTCTTCAAGTACAGAAACTTTTAAAATAATAAATATATAGAAATATTATATTTTACTTACAAGGTTTGCAGACAAGGTTTTCTGGCTGTAGCAACAATTCACATGCTACAAATACAGAGAAAAGATATTAATTATACAGTATCAAACTGCTATGTTATTTAAACAGAAAAAGAACAAGGGCCAAAGTAAGGAGTTCATAATTTTGAGAACTCTCACTTCTTTCCCAGACTCTACTATGCATTTTGCAAACTTGACTCCTTTGTTATTATTTCAAGTCCCTTCTCATCTTCATATGAGAAACATAGATCCATTCATTTGAATATCACATTTCTTAGTGAGACAAAAGGGATAACACCAGGCACAGCACATCAGGAGAGGAAGTTAAAATTAGTCTTAAATGTATTTAGTCAGAATAAGTAAGTAGGCTGAGCACTACTACCAATGGTACAGTGGTCTGTGTTAACAGACAGACTTGAAAAGCAAGTTTTATATGGAAAAAAACCCGTAGCAAGACAAATATCAACAGTTCACTCCAAAGGGTACTTGCAGTTTCTCACCATACTGTGTGAGCACTGAGGAACTTATTCAAATTTCTTCTCTCCACCTCCAGTGAGAATTGCTAAGTAATTGCAGAAATCCAACTTGATCTGCTGCTGTCTAATTTTAGATGTCCTCCTCCACATCTGTCTTTAGATAGCTGTTTTTAAATTGTAATCTCAAAGGCAAAAAACAACCTGCCCTTCTTCACAATGTCCAGAGAGGAGCAAACCATCTTCAGGAGTTACCTGAGAACCCCAGGAACAATCCTGCTCCAGGCAAACCTGAGATAATCTCAGGCCTACCTGACACTTCTCTTCTGATTGCTGCCTAACACTTGTGATCACACACCAGAGATTTATCTATGCCATGCAAATTCTTTCTGCTCAACACGCAGATCTTCCTTCCACAACAGTGTCAGTAACTACTTAACCCAGACTCACCCAACATCATCACCCACTACATTCCTTTGCTGGGAAAACCAAAACATTGAGGGGAGGCTCACTGAAGAGATGATAGGCAATACTATACAAAATGCAACACTACAGTATGTGCAACACCATATTATGTGCAATACTTACATCTAGTTCTGAAGAAAAATGGGTGATAATTACTTTCATTTTTAATGGAAGGAAAAGGAACAATCTTTACAAAGTAATCTGTTTCAAACTTCAAGTTTACAAAGGGCTGGGATTCCATTCCCTACAAAAAAGACAAGATTGCACATATTTTAAAATCAATAATCATAGCTGAAAGTATTTTCAAAACCACCCCACAATTTTACAATCAAAGGCTGAAAGAATCCTTTCTCTACCCCTCTATTCCAAACTGAAATGAGGAACCTCAATTCATAGTTGGATGTAGACTATCACAGATGTGCACTTGTACTTCATGTACAAAATGGCAGTTCCTGGCTTCAGGAAAGTTTCTATCAGAAGGAACAAAATCTGTCTCTAAAGCAACAAATATCATTAATTTCACCAATAACACTTTTGGGAACCAACCAGCTCTTTTACAAGGGCACGGAGCAATAGGACAAGAGGGGATGGCTTCAAACCGACAGAGGGAAGGGTTAGATGAGATACTGGGAAGAAATTCTCCTGTGTGAAGGAAGAGAGGCCCTGGCACAGGGTGCCCAGAGAAGCTGTGAATGCCCCATCCCTCCCAGTGTCCAGGCCAGGCTGGATGGGGCTTGGAGCACCCTGGGATGGTGGGAGGTGTCCCTGCCCATGGCAGGGAGTGGAACTGGGTGACCTTTAATGACCCAAACCATTCTAGGATGATAAACACCTTCAAGACTACTCACAGTCAAAGAACACAAACTTTTCTTGAAACAAATCACTTACTGTTCTTTTAAAACTGGGGCTGAGCTGCTTTGGATCTTTTAAAACCATCTGCTGGCATTGTCTTCCCTCTGACTTTAACTCCTCAAGTATTACTCGAAATCCCTTCAGGTATTCAATCCCTACAAACAGCAGGGCATTTCAACAGGAGGTTAATATTTCAAAATGCATCATGTGGTATTTAATGCAATTTGAATATATTTCATTTATTTTTAAGAATAAACCTTATCAGTCATATGAAACATGTTTGTATTTAATAGCTGTTGCTGTATGTCAGTTTTGCATATTCCATCTTGCCTATCTAGAGTTCAGTCTTTGGCCAAGGCTACAATCACTGCACACTTGTGTAATGCTTGGAACAGAGGGGCCCATGTCTCATCAGGGGCTTCCAAATTACCACTGCAATCTTAAGTTATCAGTACCTTCTTCACCTTCAGAAATACTTCACAGTTACTTCACATTTCCATTTTACAATAAAATATAACATTGTGGTAAATTATAGAAATAGTCCTTTATAAATTTTACTATCATCTCTGAGAATACCAGATTAAAATGGTAACAATTGTTACAATTTCTTTAGTTCTAGTCCAGTAAGGGCTAACAGAAAACTTGACTTAAATGGAATGGAATTTATTCCAGTGCAAGTATACTTCCAGTTATTTCTAACTGCTGCCAGAACTACACCCATTTTGTTCAAGTTACTCTACTACAACTTAGCACAGTGTCCTTACAATGTTCTCATTGCAGAATTACTTCATGATATGACTAAACTGAGTCACAGTGATGTGAAATCCCAGGAAAATGCCAGTGTTACCCTGTGACAGTTTTGTGGCTCGGGTATCAAAGGCACTGCTCAGCTCTTTAACTCTCACTACTCCAGCTAATTGCATCTCTTCAACAGCATTACAGATATTTATCAATGACACAGACACAGCTTTTGTAAGCTAAATGCTACATAAATCAAAATGGACTCAGTTTATGCTGTGCTTGTCAACCCAAAAAAATAAAATTCCAAATGTATCATTTTCCACCACCTCCTCTGGTTCACTGGTTTTCACAGGTTTGTGTGTTTTGATTAAAGTTTCATAATTTTGTAGAAGATAAAGTGTTGCCAAATGTGTTCTTAGCATTCATGGAACAAAAGCACTATTTGTCCTTACACAAAGACCCTGAAAGTGCCCAGTTCCCAGGTTACCCAAGATTCTGAACTGCAGTTCTGTCCTCAAGCTCTCCAAAGGATTCACCTCTGGTGATCACAAAGAAGAACCCAGGCTTTGTTTCCCATGGATGTTTGATTCTGCAGCTGAGGATTATCAAATGCCTTCAACTGCACAGTTCTGCAGAATTCAGTGGAATTCTCACATATTTTTTAAAGCCCAGAAATAAGTTTCTCAGTGGAAATGGATTTCTGCACATCCTCAGTTTTGGACACTACTGCTCTAGTGGGCAACAAGGTACTTCCAGTGACATTGAAGTAATTGAGGAATACTCCAAATCACCAGACCTGGCAAGGAAACACATTGAAGTCAGTATAGCTGTGATTAGATAATGTTTTCCACCTGTAGGACACTCTGCATCTTAAAGAACCTTTAAGTGTATCAGGAACTAAATTCAATCAATGCCACTGAAATGCACCAAAGCCTTAGGGCAGAAAATGAAACCAGGGACAGTTGCACAGTTCTGAAAAGCAGGAATTCACTAAGCTGGGATAGTAAAAAGCAGTGTATGACTGCAGAGAACACCCTAGTTTTAAGGGTGTTTTTGAAGCAAACCAGAAAAAAAATGATCTTTGCAAAGGTGTTAAGAATTCCTTTCTTCTCAGACAGTTTGCATGAATGACTCCAAGCATAATTTAATTATTTGATTTAATACCTATGAGCATGAAGTTATTACCAAACCCCTGATCAGTGAGTCCATCTCCCTCTAGAACTTACCAATGGCATTTGCTGTCCAAAGGATCATCACAGCCACCTGCTCCTGGCATGCAAACTGACTGATAGTGATGTTCTGCACATCTCCAATCATGTGTCTGCCCACTGAACTCAGGTAAGGAGTGCAGTCTAAAAACATGGACAAATGAACACCTCAGGAAAAACATTCTAGCTGACAAATTCCCTAACATGTCTTCAAGACTGAGCAAAGTAAATTACCAGTGAATTATTTTCTATAAGGACTACACATCAAATCTAGATTAAGTTTTTGTCTCAAGACCCAAAACCCCTCAAAACTTCACAAATCACTGAGCACAACCACCTTCACTGTTGCTAACCCAGAGTTCACAGGACTCCCAAGGATGTTACCAGTTCCTACCACCAGTGTAACCTGTCCCACATCAGAGTACTGGGACTCCCATTAGAGAACAACTTTCCCTTCTAGCTGTCCAAAACACTATAGACTGCCATTAATTTTGTTTGTGTACAGTGCCCAAAGCAAGAGGATGTTGGTCAATGATCAGGCACATCTGAGAACAATAAACCATGAGAACTTGAGAACTGCTCAAGAAGTGCTTTTAGCCATGATCCTCACCACAAAGAACCTGCTGCTTAAATCCATCTCCTCTCTGCCTTCCATTCTGCAGCCACATCCCTACAGACCACTTAACTGCCACTGGCTTCATGCAGGACTGCTTTTGTCTTGCTATCCTCACAAAATACAGTTTATTCCCTAAAATTACACTGCCACAGCTTTAGCTTTAATCAAGAAAACAAAATATAAACAAAAAATTCCTAAGTTTGTTGTTGAACTTGTTATTTTTAAAAGAAGAAAACAACCCCAAATTTTATTCCTTTTAAAGCTTTGCAATATTTAGGCTCATATTTTGTGGCAGGAAGAGAAGCAGCAGGCAGGGAATTCACTAGTTCTGGAGCAGAATATACATGAAGATGGGTGTGCAAAAACAAACATTCTGTTTCTGAACTAGTGAAAGTAACAAAATCCAGAAGAAAATGATCAGTAGATTGTATATTACTGACTGATGATTAATTTTAAAAAAAAAACTGAGTTAATTTATATGCTATGTATTCATCTATAGAGAGCTTGTAGAAAGGAAACATGAAAAATCAAGTGCTATGATACACCAGTACAGGAAATTTGATTTTAATTCAGAGGTGTGATCTTAAAGGCAAGGAAAGAAAAATTATTAACTGTAAAGGAGATTTAGAAAATGGCTTTTTACTATGAATAACCATGGCAAGGGGTCTTTTCTGTAACTGTCACAGACATAAGAATAGAACACTACAACAGTGCCCTTTACAAAAGCTGGTGCTTGGTGCTGACTCCACTGTTTGTAGGGCTCAGTTGCTATGAGGGAACTCAGGGACAGCATGAACTTCCTCCTAGGAGAATAGAGGATCTCTCTCAATGGAAAATCTGAAGTAACTGGTTTTTGCTAGGTCTGGATCTAATTAATAGCAAGCCCAAGATTTTGGATCCTGGTTACCAGAATTTTATGGTCAAATGACAATTTGCCAAAATGGAATATAGCACAAATGCCTGAAGTTTTACTGCAAGTTACTGATTCACAGTTAAAAAGAACATCAGTTCTAGGAAGAAAACAGTATGGAAAAATCACACTTTTAGGAAACCACTTCTTTTACTTGAATACAATTGACATACTAAAAATACAGCCTTTTTTTTCACCTGAATAAATAATCTAACTAATTTAGCATCATAAAACACACTTTCCTAGAGTTGCTCAGCAGCAAAATAAGAGCCTTTAAACCACAGTCAGCAAGCCAAATTTTCCTTTGTGCTGGCTCATTAAAGGTAAACACATATTTCCATACCATGTGAGCTCTTTAGTCTTCATATCAGCAAACTCCTTTCCTAGTCCTGCAGAACTCAAATAACTCCTTTGTGCAGGAAGCACACAGTGCCAGCAGAATTGTGAATTAATATTTCTCATTGGTTAAACAGTTTCTAGTGCCAGAATTAATGGAAAAAACATGACACATACTGGGATTTAAACATTGTGTTTAAATGTGTGACTCATTGTGTTAACTAAATGTGGGATCTCTGTTCTGACTGGTACCATTTCCTAGTTTTTGTTATGTAGATTAAAAAAAAAAACAACAAAACAACTTCTTCTGTAGTGACCACCTACATCTTGTACAATCTGACACACTGAAATTTTACTCATTTTATGAATTAAGGTCAAATTAGATTTAAAAAATTCACAGTGAAGGATTTCAAATTCAGGAATTAACATAAAAATAGAGGAGTAAAAGGATGATGAGAATGAAATTAATCACTATTGTTAGGCTTCCTGATGCAGGCTCTTGATGAGGAAACTTTACCTACATTCTGCATCTGAGGTAACTTCTTTGGGTAGGCAGAAAAACCCACCTATGACTTGCACTGGCATTAAAACAAACATTGTTTTAATGTAAATTAGAACCTTGTTCTGACTGTACACTGAGTTTATACATGATGGCCATTAGCTGCCCACAGAAGGATGAATTCCTAATGTAGTTAGCGGTCCTGCTTTGACAACTAGACAGCAAAGATGATAAAACACCTAAAATAACCCCCAGCAATAAGATACAGCCATTTAGCAGATGCTTGAGGAGGTCTGAAGTATTACTGCCCAACCTGTTCAGCACTGTCACTATGCCAGAGATGATTTTATCTCAGTTGAGCTGCAAACCCCAGCACAGCTGCAGCAGTTCTGAACCACCTCTCTGCACTGCAAATGCACACAGCAGTGTTCCATTGGCCTGGGCCTGTAGCTATGAAAGGTTCTCACTGATTCAACCAAATGAAAAGAAGCTATTCAATATTCATGTTCAATATTAATCCTTGCAAAGAAAAATTTTTAAATATATTACCTGTATACAAATACAAACTAACACATTTTCTACCTCAAGAAACACATTATGCTATTTTCACCCAAAATGACACATCAGAGAAAAGCTGCAGAAAGCTCAAAATAACCCTTTCCTATGTCCTTGTGTCTACAGTGACTACATTTTTCACAGAATAAAATAATTTTCTATAATGTTCCAGTCAAATACTGGGTAAATTATGTAGGCCAACCTGAAAGAGAAACTACTAGAAATTGTTAGATAGTTTCATTATCAGTGAGACACAGAGGGAGAACATCTACCTGACCCAGCAGACACAAATCTTCTAGATTTTAAAATTATGTCAATATTTGGACATTATTTTGCATATGCCATTCTTAGAGCCATCTTAAGACACATGTTGTTGTATATTTTCAACTGTGATGGAGTCCTTGATTTCTGTGAATATAGAGCAGATTTTCAACTTACTGTCATATTTAAAGGTGATGTTGAGCAGTCCATTGTTCTTTGTGATTGACGACAGCCCCTGCAGAGACAAAACAAAGATATGGAAAATCTGAATGCAGCATTTACATGAGGACACGAAACTGTGGCTGAAGTAGTATGATCTGTCCAGTAGATGGGAATCATAGAAGCTTATCCTTGGGAGAAAATTATGTGATATTCTCAACTTCCACCATCTAGGTGAATTGTGTATGTGCAAAAACCATATCTTTAATCAAGGTTTAATGACAAACCAAATTGGTTTAATGACAAACCAATTCCAGAGGAAACAGAATGCAAGAGAAGAGAAGAGACCATCAGCCAAAGAGCTGTTTTCCACTCACAGCCATGAAAAAGAGCATCAGAAGTTCCAAAGAGTGACACTGCAGAAACCCATTATGCCACCTCAGACACCCTTTTCTTTTATCAAATGCTGTTAAAGCAGATTCTGCAAACTGAAGAGCAACCAGAGAACTGCCAGGGAGAACCCCAGGCTGATGAGTTTGCTGCCTGTTCTGTACTCCGAGAAAAGAACTCTGGCCCTCAGACATGCAACACCTTCCCCTTCGGAAAGCACTGGAATTGTTTTGAAACACACAATGTAGCATCACCCTCACAAGAGGCCAAGCCGAGAACAGGAATACTGATTGTTATGATACAATATCAGTCCCTGAAAGGCAAAATACATCATATTTACCATTAGCTTTAAAAAAATACCACCCATTTACATAGAATTGTATCTGGGTTCACTGCCACAATGCAAACAGCAGAACTCATCAGTATAAAAGGTTTGCAGCAGGAATTAGCTGTTGTCAGGATCATGGCTGAGCACTCTCCACAGTCAGACCCAGAATGTGCAAAGGAAAACAAGGCAGGAGTTGTCAAGTTAAAAAAAACCCTAAAACACTTCCTAAAGGATGAAAGCAATTCAAACTTTGACAGCACTGTTACAAGTTAAATTTGTAATCTCACTTTCTTCTTGGGTAGCTTTTAATTGTTAAGTTTGATTTAGTTTGGCATTGAACCAGTTGTTATACAGAAAAGCTTCCTGAAACAGGAAGGAGTCTTTCTTTTCAGTTGTAACTTTTCTATTAATACCTGTTCTAGTCTGACTCACTTTCTGTTTCTCTAATCTTTATTAAATGTCATTTCACTTGCAGCAAAACAAAGACATTATTCATTTAATTTTTAAAAATCACAAAAAAGTAACTACTGACTTTTTATAAAGGGAGAGAAACTATCAAATCAATTGCTACTTGTCTTCCTTTGGTCCTAGAGCTGAAGTTGTGGGAGACAGAAATTTATTAAACTCCACAGAAAATTAGCACATGTATTTTTATTTATTAGATAACATTTTTATATGCTATATTAAAATAAAGAGGCAACACTTCTCCTTTAATTGCATTTCTACTGGGATTATGGTGACATAAAACATGTAACAGTATAAGCATAAAGAAATACACCACAAGCACTGATAATTTAGATGTAAAGACAGACATACCAGAAGCCAAACTCTGCTGAACTTCTGCAGCACATAAGACTCACTAGTGGCAAAAGTTTGCTCTCAAGTGTAGAAAAGGTACAAAAAGGCTGCAGTAATTAGTGAGAGAATTATGGTCACCCCAAAGTATTCAAGTAAATAATTGTTATTTTAATTATAAATTAAAACATGTAAGCTAATTAGATAATTTCATCATGCTCAAGTTTAGTATTCATCCCTCAAGGATTTACTGCTGGGAGTTTAATAATATATTCTTCCAGGAAGCATTGCCTTGGTTTTGAATTAAAGTAATTGTGCTATTTAGGTGGCTTATAGCTAGGAGAACTTGTTTAGAGCATCCTACTTCTAAACTATAAATACCAATGTTATGGCCTCAGGGCTCTGAATTCTTAGCTAATTGTCCCTGCCGTGGGAGGGGGGCTGGAATTAGATAATCTTGAAGGCTCCTTCCAACCCAAACCATTCTGTGATTCTATCATTAATTAACCAAGAACATTTGTTGAATTTCCATTTGTTTAATTTAATTTATTCTGAACTTTACTAGAAAACAAGTCTTTGTGTCCTGGAGCTTTTCCTATAAAATCCCTGTGCTCTACATACTTCTATACATGCAGACTGAGAAGAAATACATAGGAAAGAAAACAGCCAAAACATCTTTTCTGAAGAACTCTAGACCACTGATCTTTGAACAGATAATCAAAATTGAAATGCACACACATTAAATTACAAATAACTTTATTTGTCAAAAAGCTGGGGGAGCAGAGGAGGCATTAGCCACATTAAACCTCACATTATGTGAGCTCAAAGCACAGAGCTCCACAGAAAACCTGATAAGCTAAAATCCAAATCCTGTATCTCTACTGGCCAAGCAAGGCAGGAAGAATTTCCATCACACACCTCAAATCACAGAGATCAACATTGAATCTGTATAAACAGCCTGAATAATTACGGTTAAGATCCCCAGATATCCCAAGTCAGCACAGATCTAAATGAGACCAATCCACATCATCTCCTGAACAATGAGTAGCTCATTTGGATGTTCAAGGCATGTACAGGCACTTCATTTTATTTAAACATCCATCTTTCAACATGAAAGAGCACAAGTATTAATAAAAGACAAAGACTATTGTATGAAGTTAACCTCTATTCTTGTTTGTTTAGATTTTTCTAATACCCAACCCTCATTTATAGTAACAGCTCAGTAATGAAATGCACTCATGACAACTCTTTCACCCATTACTGGGCCAGAGAGGAACAAAGTTAGGATTACATATCCAGAAATAAAGCTAAAATGAAATTTGTAACCACAGGAACTAATTGTGCCTCCAAGAGAAGTTAAATTTAACTAATGTCTGCTGCCAGAGGCATAAATTAAACACAGTTGAATGAAATGAAAACTCTGTTTGATTTTATTGAACTTTTCCCTCTTCTTTTTAACCTAGAACACACAGTGTTTCCTATTTGAAATAAACAGCTATTTTTCATCTCTGGGAATTCCTGCCAGAGATAGCCCTGGTGATAGAAATGGATGGGTGATTTCTGAATAGTTCTATAACTAATCTTTATTTCAAACAACATTGAAATATATTCCAACATTCTTCTGTTGAGCAAACACACTCTCATTCAAGAAAGCCAATTGCTGTGTGTGACTAGGCACTGTCAGGCAGCCACTCCAACATAAATACAGGGAAACAGAGAGGAGCTAGCACTAATTACAGCAATCTGGCAGGGGAGGTAGGAAATCACTACCCCTCAAGCACAGCCTTGTGCAGCAGACCAAAACAGTAATCATGATTCATCTTTCACATGTTGTTCATCAACACACACATGGTCCTAATTTCACACTCCCATGAGGCAAACTGAAGGGACAATTGTTTTTGAACTTTAGCATCAAGATGAATAATCAATGTTTATCATACTCATTGCTCAGTAAAACAAGGGATTTATTTTTGACATCTGCTCTTCTTGTTTCAAAGCTTTATTGATGCTTTCAAACAAGTAAAAATATTTTCTATTTCTAGAGTCATCAGTAAAATGATGAATTATCTGTATTATTTAGATGCCTGCATTTTGAATTGCTTTCAAGAGAATATAACACAATACACAATCCATGTTGATGTTTGTTGTGTGTACTCCACTGACTGCAGAATGAATTCTAAGCCCTGGTAGATGGGTTTGTACCGTTATTACTTACAAACTTGGTGTGACTGCAACCAGGAATTTTGTTCAGATTTACCTCTTTATCTATATCTATATATTCCTGCACTGCATGCAAAAATTATGGGAATAGCATTTTAAAACACCTCTCAGTAACACTGTGGAAATAAGTTTTAATTTAAGTGAATTAAAGAGAATTAATGCAACAGACTTCTTGATGCCTATTTCATATTTTATGAAATATTTCATGCCTATTTCATACCTAGACTCTTCTAAATAGTAAAAGAAGTTAAAACCAAACTAAGTTGGCATCTTTTGTGTTTGTTATTGTGTAAACAGCATCATTTACAAGAAGCTCACAGATTTTGGCTGGTTCTTTGTTGGTGGCTATTTAGTGTTTCACTGCTTCATCCAGAGCCACTGCACACAAGTTCAGCTGCAGAGGAGTTGAACTTGTGTCTCCAGAGAACTTCAAATTCCACCTTAGATACCAAAGGCAAAGCACTGCTTTTACTTCATTGGAATAATATCTTGGCTGGGGAAGAAAACCATCACTTGTGAGCAAGAAGGAACATCTTGGAATAATAGAAGCATTTAGGCTGGAAAATACTTTTAGATCCCTGAGTCCAACCACCAATGATGATTTTATGGTTGACTTCCTACATTTTGTAATTACATTTTGTCTGAACAACTTCTGCCATTTTGACTAGATATGGTTTTCTCAATGTCCTCCTATCAAGAAAAAATATTGAATTGAACAGCTGCTGGCTTAAATCCCACCAGGGGAGGAGTGGTCCTGACAGGCATTCATGGATACTCATTTCATGGGGTCTTTGGGGATTTTTGAGGTGAAACATGCTGGCTGAAGAGCACGAGCCACAGCATATCCCATCTGAACAAAAGAAAACAGAAAACCTACCAAACCAAACCAGTAAAAATGCCTTTCCATTATGCCCTATCCCAGCCTGGTTTAGTTTCTATTTTCAAAAGGCAGTGGAAGGTTATCTTACACTGCTGTCTGACAGAGCAGTGAGAAACCAGTGCAAGGAGAAACACTGCCAGAAGTATTTACAGCACAACTCTTCAGAAGCACACAGCTCTGTGCAGCTGTTCCCTGGAATGATGTGAACTGCTTTCCTTAAGGAACAGGCAGCAATTAGGGGCACAACAACAAGGGAAGCAAGTTCAATCTGCACTGCTCACCACCAACCGTGAAAATCTTAAATCTCTGAGTCAAACTGAGGAATTTAATGCAGCAGAGCATGGCACAGAATGGGCAGTATCAGCTCTCAGTTCTCTCATGCAATTTGAAAGTTTGCCCAAGAAGTTTTCTATTGTTTGCACTGACACAGTTTATTTTTCCTACATTCTTGTGCAAATAATGT